CTGATCATTTATGTATACATTTGTCTATATCTATCTCGATTCGTTTTGGCTGTTACAAACAACCGTTATGTGAACAAAATTAATATACCCTTGTGCACAAGTGCGCTCGGGTATAAAAAATCAGCACACGTGTTTTCGTTGACCGTGTTATATTAATCGCTGTAAATAATTTTTAAAATATCTTTTGTATTTTCGTTGTCAATTGAATTATAACAAACGCACCGCAGTCAGCCTTTCTCTTATATGTATTGTTCAAATTTTATACAATTGTTAAAAAACTTGCAAGTGTTATCTGAAAAACACTTGTTTGCTGATTTCAATTCTCCTATAAAAGTACGTCGGCGCAGTTGTTTGACTAACAGTTGGTTTCCGTTCTCAAACTTGCAATCATCAAATCATCAAAACATGTGGCCCAGGAGTTCCTTCACGTTCCGTAAGTTCTCAAGTCGCGATATATGATGTTCCTACTAACTTGTTGAATTCCAGTTTTTGGAGTTGTGCTGTTAATCACTGTAGCTATGACTCAAGCCCAGCCTGAAGATGGATGGGGTGGTGGGCCTGGCCCGAGGCCATGGTAGGAGACCAAGCTTGTAAGTGTATTTCACGCAATCTCAACTGCCAATCAAGGCCGCGTGCTAGTAAGTAGACTCAATTAAATACTTCAGCTAATTGGAAAATTCTATATTTATTACTGTCTTCTCCTGTATTTTTAGACTGGTTTATAACCAGGGAAAACTATTGCGAGAAGATAAAAATTGTAGAACCTGCCGCCGAATGCAAAGATTAATGAGACACAATGATTGACGGAATGTTAACTGATTTAAAATATGCAAATTTTTAATTTTCCAAGAACTAATTTTCGACCTCAAAAAGTTCAATTCACTTTTATAAAAAATTATATTTCTTCCAATAAAATTATGTGACTTCATATGAAACCTACTTTGTTTTAAATACAAATACAAAAATTATCAGACCGACGATTTAATAGAAGATTTAGCTATATGTATGTTGAAAAAATGTCCTTTATTTGATGTCGAGATCAATTCTTTATTGACAATAATGAGGAGGAAATGCCTCTTAACTGTATGCTTTAATATTGACACTGAATTGAATAAACGTGCTAAGCGGCAGTTTTGGAATAAGATTTAATGTAGATTAAGATTCGTACAAGGAAAATGGTAAAGATGAGTATGTAGGAGAAGAAAGGGATAAAGGCAAAGATTAACATAACAGTGCAGAAACCTAAAGATAGAAACAAAGAGAAAGGTAAATTTAAACACTTAATATAATGAAAAAGGTGGGTGTGAATATGTAGATGAAGAAAATAATGAAGACAAAGATCAGGATAAAGGCAAAGGAGGAGAAAAAAATGAAATTGAAAAGATTAATGTGAACATAAACATAAAGATAAAAATAAGGAAAGAAACGAAATAGACAAAGTTAGAGACAGAGAAAGAGATAAAGATAGAGGCAAAGTAAATGATAAACTGAAGAATGAGATATGTTATGTTATGGCATTTTATGTTATGTTATGATATGTTATGCTATGTTTTCATATGTTATGTTATATTTTGTTATGTTATTTCATGTTGTGGCGTGTTGTTCAACACATTACCCCTCAATTCACCACAGCTGGCTTCAAATCACCACCTCTCAGTTCACTTCAACTCCATATATAACTCAATTCTTTATTAAGTCGACTTAGGCGATTATTGCTTATGACCATATATTTATTGTCATCGCGAAGCCAAACGTATCGGAAATTGTAGCCTCTTGAAAGGTATTGTAGATTCTGATGGTATCATAGGTATTCGAGGTAACAGGACGACTACTCCTCTAAACTTTCCAGTCAATATCATTGCTTCAAGTACGTTTCCGGTAATTCGTGTACCTTTGCATAGCTTTGGTGGATTTAAGTTACGCAAAAGAATGACTGGTGAAACAATTTTCAGTCGAAGTTTGTGTAGCGCCATTCCTGGCATATCCAGAGAATACAAACATTCAATCCGAAAATTTACGGTCTCGTTTTCACCAATAGCGGTTTCGATTGACTAAAAATCCAACAAATTTTGTATTTGACAGTTAAGT